TAATGGACCTATAAAGAGCTAAAAAATCTCAATAAGCTTTGAGGAGCCCATTTATTACTTGCGCAATATCAATTACCATGCTGTCTACTTACTCTGTATTGTACTTCTTCGCTTCAGATAAAACGAAGACTTGTTAGGTACTGGAACTTCCTAACTTGTACATCCAACAACGACCTACTGACACCCTTGGAGGTCCGATTTTTTTGGGTGTCGTGGAAGTTCCCGAACGATTCTGATCTGGCACGGCCCAATGCTGTGATCCCAGATGTCGCACCACCTGTTTCCATCCCATCATTGGGCCAGCTTTCTATAAGGTGGGCTGCTTTTACTGGTTGTTTCCGCGCCGCAAGAGGTTTTCAGCAACCAGTCAGCCTGGCAAAGAAAAATCCAGATTCTGTGCTGGAAGGCGGCACGCTTTTGGCCTGACTGCCCTCACCGCGACCCACTGATTTGAACACGCCACACGGGCGAGATGAAGTGGAACAGAAGCGGGTGACGAGCCCCAGTAATTGGTTCCCCATTCTTCTCGCGCATGCTGATGTGGCATTTTTTAGCTGCGTGGCGAGCCGCTAAACCAGATGTAGCGTGTGGGCGAACCCGTCAGAGAGATTCAGCAGCACCCGTGACCACTAGGAAAGCTGAAACGACAGGGTAACCACTACAGATGTTGCCTTCGTGGACGGTCAATTCCACTGGCATTCAGATTTCGCCAGTGCTGGTTTGCGATTGTATGCATTTGACGGAATGGGAGGAAAAATGACGGCCCGGCGGAAAAACCACGGGGTTACCCGTGTTTAGGGTTGAGGCTCCCTAATCGCATGTCATCCGGACGGGGCTTATGTTTTTTTCTGACCGCGGGCAGTTAACGGTTCATCAGCGCCTTTCCTGACAGCCGTCAGTTGCATGAATTCGCAAATCGCACTGGCGAAATTCGCATGTAGGTGATGTTGTCCCTTTTCGTGGACGTAGTACACTGCGAGTGATCCCACGTGTCGACCTGGCCCGCTATTCATTCGCGTTACAAAATTTACGGAACCTTCCTATCGTTGTCCCCTCTCCCGCTCACAATCCCAACTGGATCCATCTCCCACCGTCCAACACAAGCCCTGCTCCTCTCCCCCTCTCTTCCCACTCACCTTTCCTACAAATCACTCGTATTCTGTCAATTAAATTTGTTTCGTTTCACGAACAACTAATCCCCGCCCATTCTTGTGTGGATCTCTGTTTGATCGATAGATCAAGCCGCCCTTTTCTCCAGCAGATCCCTTATCCCGCCTCTTTTCCTTCGGTGAGAGCAGACATGGCAGCTAACGCCCTTCGCGCGTCTCACGCAGCCGCCGGCGCTGTGTCGTTCTCCGAGGCGGCCCACACATCATCGCGCAGATCCGCAGTCCCACAGCTCGCGCCCGCATCCTTCGCTTCCTTCCATGGGTTGAAGTCCGTGTCCTCAACCACGGCTCCCGCCAATCCCCTCCGCGCCATCTTGTCCGCGCGGGCGTCCATCATTCCAGCGGCATCTTCCCGCCAAACCGTTTCCCCCGTGGCTTCTGCGGAGATCAAGGTTGCGCTGCTTGGCGCGGCAGGAGGGATTGGACAGCCTCTGTCCCTGCTCCTCAAGATGTCGCCTTTCGTGTCGGAGCTACGCCTGTACGATATCGCCAACGTCGCAGGCGTCGGAGCTGACGTCAGCCACTGCAACACGCCCGCAAAGGTACGATCTGGAAGGTCAAGAATGCAGCACCGCGAGGCATCTTTTGCCGAACGTGGGGAAGGCCAACCTTCTTTTCTCATACCCGTGCTCTCACGGTTATTCCTCTGAATGAGACTGCTGTTTGTTGAGTACTCACGGAATCAACCAGTCTAGCTGTGCTACCTCTCCCGCACGCACCCTTTCTTCGCCTAGCCACTCCCCGTCAACCTTTCCCCGCTTCTTCCTCTGCCTCGACCCTCCGCAGGTGAAGGCTTTCAGCGGCCCAGATCAGCTGGGCGCGGCACTGGACAGTGCAGATCTCGTCATCATCCCCGCGGGCGTGCCGCGCAAGCCCGGCATGACGCGCGACGACCTGTTCAACATCAACGCGGGCATCGTCAAGAAGCTCGTCGAGGCCGCCGCGGACCACTGCCCCAAGGCCTGGATCAACATTATCACCAACCCCGTCAACAGCACCGTCCCCATCGCCGCGGAGGTTCTTAAATCGAAGGGCGTGTGGGACCCGCGGAAGCTCTTCGGAGTGACGACGCTCGACGTGGTGCGCGCGAACACCTTCCTCGCGGAGCTCAAGGGGCTGAGGATGATCGACGTGGACGTGCCCGTGATCGGCGGTCATGCCGGGGCCACCATCCTGCCGCTGCTGTCCAAGGCGAAGCCGTCCGTCACGCTGACGGAGGACGAGGCGGCCAAGCTGACGGTTCGCATTCAAAACGCTGGCACGGAAGTGGTTGAGGTGAGCTGCCCGGTATCGGAGCTAGACGAAAGCGATGAACTTGTGACCCTGAGTGTATGTAACAAGTCGAACTGACGTAGGAACAGAACTTGGTGCTCGCGTTGCTGCCGCGGGTGGCGGTCAGCCCACACCACCCCTCTCCGTCCATCGATGTTTTTGTCCCTTCGCTTGCTTGCTTGCCCGCGTGCGCTGACTGCTGTCTCCCTCCTGCTCGCGTCTCCCCCGTCGTTGCTGACAGGCTAAGGCAGGAGCCGGCTCTGCCACCCTCTCCATGGTACGCTCGCACATTCTCGCACAACCGCTTGCCTTTCACAATCATCCCATTGCCTTATCCCTCTCCATCCCTCGTCCTTCTCTTTGACAGTCACCTTCTTTTTTATTGCGTTGACACTGACGACAGTGACTTGTCTCCCGTATCAACTGCTTGTGTTTTCACTCTGTCCTTTTGTTCTGTAAACCCTTCAAAACTTCTTCGCTCCACCCTCACTTGCTAAACACACCGTGTTTTCCCCTTTCTCGCACCGCCTTGTGTAACTGCAGGCCTACGCTGCCGCGCGCTTCGCGGAGTCGTGCATGCGCGCCATGGATGGCGATCCCGACGTCTTCGAGTGCACCTACGTCGCCTCCGACGTACGTTTACGTTTTTTCTCACCGTACCTGATTCCTCTCTCTCTCGCCATTACCTCCGTTCCTCGACTAAACGCCTCACGCATCCTCCCATCAAACGTTTCTTCTCCCTTTTATTCACTTCTCCTCGCTACCCGCACCATCTGGACTACTCACATCACCCGCTCATGTTCCCCACTTCCCATTTCCCACTTTCCCCACCAACCCCCCTGCCTTGTGCCTGCTCGCGCCATCACAGGTGACGGAGCTGCCGTTCTTTGCGTCGCGTGTGAAGCTGGGGCGCGAGGGACTGGAGGCGTTCCTGCCGTCGGAGCTGGAGGGGCTGTCGCCCGCGGAGAAGGCGGGGCTGGACGCTATGGTCGCCGAACTCAAGGGCAGCATCGACAAGGGCACCAAGTTCGCCACCCAGGCCCCCGAGCCCGCCGCCCAGCCCGCCACCAAGTGAACGCGGAGTTACCGTTGATTGTACCTTTTGTTAGTAGTTCATAACGGCAGTTTGACGATGTATACTTGGGGTTGGGTTGTGTTCTGAGATGTTAGTTGAGTGGTGATGTAGTGGTGCTGGTGTTGTGCCCCCTTGTTTGGGATTTGTGTGTTTTTGCAACTGTGGTAACCTCACTATTGAGGTAATATACTGTACCCGATTGAGAGTCCTTGGCTTTCTTTAACTGGTGTGCGAACGGATCAAATGATTTGCTACTCTTCCTACAATTGTTGATATTGCGTAGTGTACTGATTACTTTGCACAGTGGAACACCAAGGCAACATACAACAGCCTTTAGGTTTGGTATAACGCCCTTGCAGTTGCTAGCTGGCTGTAAAAGCTCGGGACTAGATTTCAGCTAAGTGGCAGAGGTGGAACAGGATGTTGTGATCCATAATGATTCAACATTGGCATTTAGTACAATCAAGTACCTTACCAGAGCAAGCCCAGTTCGGGGCCTTGGATGACAACAGGCTGTTATTAACAGAGGCTGTCATCAAGTGGGGGTACTCCTTTTACATGCATGCAGGCCAGAAGGCATGAGTTCAGAAGCACCTGTGGTGCATGCACAGCACAGCGGCAAAGATACACACTCAACGCAACCATACTGCTCGTGTCACCCCTTCATTCCCTTCCTTCCCAGTGCTGCTTGTGCACTTGCTTGTTTACAGGCTCAATATGGTCAATGGTTTGAAGAAGCTTGGAACTTATTTGAGAGGTTAGCCCTATCCACCCTCCCTCACCACCACCATCTCTTGCAGTTCCCTTCCTCTCTCCCTGCTCCACGCCCCAGTGCACCAAGGAGGACATTAATATAACATATACAATATACATACATATATATGTACATGCACATGTGTTCTAACACACCATGGTTTCACCAGCACACACCCATGACCGTGTCCCCCTGGTGCCAGTACCACCTCACAGTCAGCAGCGGCAATCTCGCACCCACCTCACCTCACCCACACACCCACCCTCTAACTCCCTCCCTCACTCACCCACCCACCCACCCACTCACCCCCCTACTCACCCACCCACCCACCCACTCACCCCCCTACTCACCCACCCACCCACCCACTCACCCCCCTACTCACCCACCCACCCATTCACACACGCACTCATCCACCCACTGAATGGTAACCAAGGCAGTGGTACGGTAACCAAGTGACTGGCCACGGCAGTGGTACGCACGAAAAGCCCTCTCGTTGCCCCGCGTGCACCTCGTCAACCACCAGGGGTTGCAGCCACCAGCCATCAGCGATGACTGGTCAGCGATCAGGGCAAGATGAGCTGCGGGGTTGCATCAGCAGGGTAAGAGCAGTAGAGGAGGCAGCAGGAGAGGCGGGTGAGACACAGAGCTGCCAGGCCAATCGTGCAACAAAGTCTTAAAGCAAATTGTTAGAGAGTAAGAGGCAGTAACCACACAGACACACAAGCATGTGTCACACGTGCCATGCTCCACACACAGGCATGTGTTGTGGCACGTACGAGGGGAGAGCGGAGAGGCGCAGAGCCCAGGCGATGTCCCAGCCGTTGTCGTGATTGAGGTGCACCTCTGCTGCCACCACGTTCACCCCGTCTGTCAGCACCGGCGCTGCTGCCGCCCCTGGCAGAGCCACTGTCTTGTCCGTGTAGATGAACCCATCATCGTTGTCATTGATCGCCTCTTTATCCGCCAGCGCCTGCACGGAGGGACAACAGAGGGGGGTTGAATGGGAATGGGACGAGTCAGGAGGTGTTGAGGATGTGCGAACAAGGTGGGTTTGAAGCGGGTGAGTTCAGGGGGGGTTAGCGAGCTCTCCGGCGTGTATTTGCTGCTGTGCAAGTCGGCATGAAGTGAGACGAGAGGTGAGAGGGATGAGGTGAGAATGTTGAGGAGAGAGGTGAGAGGTGAACGGCAAAAGGCGAGGGAGCGACGTACGGAGGTGGAAGTGGAGACGACCCCTTTTGGCATGTTGAGGCGCAGCACCTCACGGTTGTTGATGTAGACAATCACACCATCGTTCACCGGCATTTGCAGCAGCAGGCTCGAGAAGCATGCGGAGTTGGTGAGGGAGAAGGTCGTGCGGAAGTAGTATGTCGTGCGCTTGTTCCACGATGGCTCGGCCAGATTCGTGCCCACCATATCCCAGTCCCCTGTTGGCATGAAAGTGGGGGAAGAAGAGTAGTTTTGAGACGCCTTGAAAAGCGGAAGTAGTATGTGGTGAGCTTGTCCCATGATGGCTGGGCTAGAACCGTGCCCACCATGTCCCAGTCAGTCCCCTGTTGGCAGGACAAACAGCACACAGCAGGGGGGAGAATTGGAAGTGGTGATTTGGTAGGGAGGCAGGGGGAATCGAGTGAGAATGCGGGCCATGGGACGAAAGCAGGAGTGCATGGCATGGGGTATGGCAATGTAGCATGGCCGGCAGGGGGCCCAAATCACACAGCAGAAGAAGATCGCAGCAGCGACAGCAGCAGCAGCAGCGGCAGCGGTAGCGGCGGCGGCAGCAGCAGCAGCAGATGGCTCAACCACACCGCAGCCCACCGCTCGGTACCGAGAAGGAGCGAATGCATACACAAGTGCGAGCGCAAGTGCTTACAATCCACGTAGGCGAGAGGGGCAGGGCCTGAGGGCCAGGAGGAGTCCTTGAAGTTGGGGTTGTAGAAGGCTGGACCGCCGGGGTAGCGCGGATGTAGCTCGCCTCCCTGCTGGTTGTAGCGCCACACTGCCCGCGGTGCCAGCAGGCCACAACGCCTGCGGGAGAGAGGGTGCGAGAGAGTTCAGGATAGGCGCGGGGTGGGTGAGGGAAGAGAAGCCGCGGTGGGGAGGAAGCAGGGGGTGGCGTGGTGTGGTGTGGTGTGGTGTGGTGTGGTGTGGTGTGGTGTGGTGTGGCGTGGTGTGGTGTGGTGTGTTGTACCGTTGTGTACCGTTCCATGCGGTGTCATGGTGTGGCAACGTCTGACTCACGAAAGGGTGGAGCAGGGTGCAGGGGGGTTCTGGGAGACATAGACGGCAGCAGGGAGGTAGTAGTCCACATCGCCTGACAGCACCACCTGCACCTGCTGCCGCCCTGATTTTGCATCGCACTCGTATGAAAACAGAGCGGGTGCACGCTGAGTGGTGCCGGTACAGGGCCTGCAGGGAGGAGTCATTGGGAGGATGGAGGGAGGAGCCGTTGGGAGGAGGTAGAGGAGGGAGGAGAGACGAGAGGGGAGACGTCAGGTGAGGGGGATGAGAATGTGGGAGATGGATTGCTCAACCGGAGAGAGGGTGATAACAGGAGAAATAAAAAGGAGAGAAGAAGAGGAGAAGAAGTGAAGGAAAAAGAAAAAGAAGGGAGAGAGAAAAGAGACTTCAAAAGCCCTACCGCCACGCTGCAATATCTGTCATCCTGGCGGCCCACTGTGCGTCTCCCCCAGCAGGCGCCTTGAAGCGCACCGTCACAGCGCCTCCGCAGCTGCCAGCGAAATCCTTATCCACGCCATCCCCAAAGTACACCTCCACCTCGTTGGGTTGCCACTCCTCCTTCCCACGCGGCCCCACCACCTGCACCACATACACCTCCCCCACCAGCGCTGTGAACCCAAACACCCGCTCCGCCTTCTTCCCACCCTCCTCCAGCTCGATGTGGTCCGAGTTCCCGTCAAACGCCTGCTGTGCGCCATCTCTCGCACGCACCACCTTGATGAAGCTCATCACGCCGTGGGCCTGTGTGCGGTTGGTGTTGCCTGCAGTGGCGGGCTCGAGGTAGCGGACGTTGACGGTGCGGAAGCAGTGTGTGGGCGAGGGGCACGCGTACGCATTGGCTCCTGGCATGGGCTTGCAGGAGCCGTATGTGCCTGAGGAGGTCAGCGGGGGGAGCACCGCTGTGTTGTTGGCCACTAGGAAGCCGTACGGCACGGGGGTGGCTTTCTTTGAGGTGGAGGTGCGAGAGGAGGAGGAGGAGGTGGAGAAGAAGGAGGAAGAGGAGGAAGGGGAGGAGAAGGAGGAGCGGGCAAGCGAGCGGGCAGAAGAAGCGGACATTCTGAAGGAAGCGCGGGGGTGCTTCTTGCGCGAGTGGGGCCTGGGGTCAAAGTCGCTAAGTCGCCTGCTGAAACGGCCGCCTGATCTCTTGAGAGCAGAGACAGTGGTAGCAGCAGAAGCTGCAACACGGAGTGTGCGACGACGAGAGGCAGGATTAGCAGCAGTCGTAGCAGCAGCGGAAGAAGTGAGGGCGGCTAGCAGGCGACGGTGGTGCAGAGGAGAAGCTTTCCGTGGCAGGACAAGCCTGCCAAGAGATGCAGGGAAAGCAGCACTGCGTGTAGCAGAACCATCATCACCATCAGCAGCAACAGCAACGGCGGCAACAGCAACAGCAGCGCCATCACCAGCGGTAGCACCATCACCAGCAGCAGATGCTCGTCTGTTGTTCCCAGCAGAGGACTTGGCGAGAACTGACCCCACTATGCTGCCGTCCATGTCCGGCAACGCCACCTGCGTCTGTGCCTCCCCATGGTCCTCCCTCTCTGAGGAATCGTACTGCCCAGGGGCACGTGCAAGGGAGAGAGAAGAGAGCGGGATCGAGAGTTGAGATGGCTGGGCCTGTGTCAAGCTCTAGCGAGTTGACTTTTGAGTCAACTCAAAAGAGTTGAGATGGCTGGGCCCGTGTCAATTTGTACTGGCTGTAGTGCCCAGGGCATGTTCGTATCACATCTGAGAAGAGATGTGATACAAGCATAGCCAAGGGCACTTCCAGAGGGGGGCAGCGGGTGAGAGGGGTTGAGCGTTGAGGGGGAGAGGGCGCATGCAGCGTGCACGTGGGAAGCAGCAGTGCCATGTGTGTGTGATGTCATGGCTGAGAGGCAAGAAGCGCGGACAGGAGAGGGCATTCGCAATCACCATCTAAACCGCTCACTTGCATGGCAGTGCTGCATGCAAGGCAGTGCGGCGTGCACACAAGGGGTGGTGCGGGCGGGCTTGATGTGGCGAGGTTACTTACTCTGGAAGGGTATTTCCGAGGCTGGACGACCACTGGGTTGGTCCGCGTTGCAGTGCTGAACTTGAGGTTCTGGTGATGGTTGGTGATGGGGGGAGCAACAGGAGAAAGAGGTAGATGCAGCATCTGTTAGTGCAGCAGGAAAACTAACATTTGTTTGAGTGCGTGCAAGCAGCAACGGTTCACGGGTGCGCGGACACAGGTGCAAGCACGAGTCAGAAATACGAGGTGATGCTTCTTTCCGCAATAATGCCGCTGCACTTGGTACTCTGGAACAACGCAAAATGACGAGGTTGCGATTGTGAGCAGCGAGCAGAGAGCAGCGCGCAAAAAGCAGCGCGCAGAGAGCAGCGCGCAAAAAGCAGCGCGCAGAGAGCAGCGCGCAGAGAGCAGCGCACAGAGAGCAGCGCGCAGAGAGCAGGGAGCAGAGAGCAGCGGTGAAGGGCCGTGAGAGGCAAGCAGTGATGAGGCGGTGAGGCACCTTGAAGTTGTTGCCGGCGTTCCAGTACGTTCCCATGTCCCCCCCCACCGCCACCGCTGCAGACGGCTTGCATGTGCTGTCAAACCCGGCGAACCTGCATGGTGGGTGTGCGAGAGACGACGGTATGGGGCCCTGGAGGAGGACAGGAGGAGATGCGAGTGCATGATGATGCTGCACCATGCTAAGTAGTGATGTGCCAGCCCAGGCCTATGCATGGAAGCATGAATGCATGGATGCATGGATGCATGGGTGCATGCACGCACTTAGCGCCGTCAACAGCGTTGTTGAAGAGCCCGTCGGTGAACCATGGGCTCTGCGTGAACACCAGCCCGTACACCGGCTCCTCCCACCCCCCATCCCCCACACTGCGCCCCTGCTGGCCCTTCGCCAATGGGAACCTGCCACGTGGAGGAGGAAAGAGAAAAGGGAAGTGTGGTACAGGAGGACAAAGGAAAAAAGGAAGGAGCAAGTAAGTAAGATCTGACAGCAGGAAACGACTGTTGAGGCGCCTCAAAAGGAGTAAGTAAGCTCTCACAGAAGGACCGCGGAGCCCTGAGTGGTGAAGCTGAAGAATCATGAGTGCAAGCCAAACACTCACTCACTCACTCCCTCACACCCTCCCGCGCTCACTTGCAGCCGGAGACCGGAGCGCAACCATCGGAGTCCGGGTCGGTGCAGTCCCAGGGGTTGCCGTAGTTGGCGGTCTGCCCCACCACACGCAGGTTGCGCAGGACAATGCCCTCCACCTGAGCCATCTCCACCCCCCACATGTTGTCCGCCGTTGTGAAGCCGTCAAACACCACGTAGTCCGTGTTGTGGATGAACGCGCTGGAAGGGAGGGAGGGAAGAGGGGAGGAGGGAGGAAAGGGGATGTATGTAAAGAACGGTGTTAGTGGTGATGGATGGCGAACCGAACCAGTGTCTAAGGGGGCGAAGGGAGGGAAGGGAGAAGGGAAGGGAAAGAGGGGCGAAGAACGGGAAGAGAGTGGGGGAGTTTGAGGATGGGTGGGATGACGGGTGGACTTACCCCGCGTAGATGTTCTTGTAGAGAGTGAAGCCCGAGATAGTCACCCACACTGGATGGTCCCACTGCAACGATCAACAGAGGGGCACACGGAGCATGGGAGGGGCACACATGCACATGGATGGGGCACACGCACACACACACGGATGGACATGCTGGTGGTGGTGAACGAGCAAGGGTCTGTCTCGGCGCGTCAAGAGACGAGAAGGGCGTGATGCACCAGCACGGGGCAGGACACAGCTGCGAAGTGCGAGCAACAGCTGACAGCATGGTCAGCAGGCACAGGAGCGCACAGTATGAGACGCACTTTAGAGGAGAGAGAGCAGGGAGAGCATAGGAGACACGCGTAGCAAGCAGCAGTAGGCAGCATGGGGCAAGGCAAGGCACTGAGGAGGTATGAGAGAGCATGCAGGCAGGCAACGACAGTTGTCCTGATTCGCGTCTCAAGGTAGCAGGTAGTGACGCAACGCACGTAGGTCTCGTCCTCGTCAAGGGTGGTGGCGTTGAATCGCGGCATGAACCCCCCAGGGTAGTCACGGAAGCCCGTGTCACACGAGTGCGCCACGTTGCCTGCGAACGTGCCCACGCGGTGGTAGTTGATGGGAATCAGCGTGTTGATCTTCCGCCACTGCGCTGACAGCCCCCTCACCTCGTCCCTCAGCTCCAGCCAGAAGCTGGTGCCGTGCAGACAGAGAGAGAGAAGGGGGGGGGGGAAGAGAGAGAGAGGTGTTGAGTTGATGGGGATGCGCGTGCTGATCCGCGACCATTGAGTCAACAGTCCCCTCTAACGCAATCCCTCAGTCGTATCCAGAAGCTTCTGGCGTGCAGGTAGGACGGTAGGCAGGTGAGGGAGCAAGAGAGGAGAAGATAGACAGTGAGAAAATGACTGGAGAGGAGAGAGGATGAACGCACGGAGGAGTCACGTGGAAGATGAGTAGGGAAGAGTAGGGAAGGGTAGGGAAGAGGGGAATCAACAGAGTGAGCAGATGGTGGACGGGTGGGTGCGGAAGGCGGGGAGTAAGGTGAAAGCCTGCCAATCCGTTCTGCTCCCAGGAATACCCACCCAAACAGCCACCCACCCAGACAGCCACCCAGGCAGCCACCCACCCGGTGTCTTCTGAGCCGGCGGCCACATTCCCAATATAGTTGTTGTTGGCGTTGGTGATCCAGAATGTGGATGGCTCGTCATCCGTCTCCTCGCTTGATATCTTCACCTTCACTGCATGCATGCCGTCACACACCCACACGCACGCACGCACGCACGCACGCACGCACGCACGCACGCACGCACGCACGCACGCACGCACGCACGCACGCACGCACGCACGCACGCACGCACGCACGCACGCACGCACGCACGCACGCACGCACGCACGCACAGAGAGAAATGAGTTGAGACAATTGAGTCGACTGGAGAGAAAACTGAACACAGAAAGACAGGACCACACACACACGAACACAGAAAGGGTCACAGGTCACAGCAGATGGTGCAACACGTGCACAGCCAAAAAACAACACCAAAAGCAAGAAAGCAACACAGCGTGGTGCAATCAGCAGCATGCAAGCGCTGTGTGCTCACCTTGGCGCGTCCAGACTCCGACTCAAAACGCACCTGGGCGCGTCCAGATGCCGACGTTCTTACCTGGGCGCGTCCAGATGCCGACGTTCTTACCTGGGCGCGTCCAGATGCCGACGTTGCGGATGAAGGAGTTGCCTTGCTCGCCGCCCTCCTCCACCATGAAGCAATGCCCTCTCGTGTTGAACGCCACGTTCTCCTCCACCGTCAGATTGAAGGTGGCGTGCACCACCACACAGCGCTGCATGGGGGAGGGGGGTGAGAAGGGGACGCGATGAGGATTGAAGGTGGCGTGCACCACCACACAGCGCTGCATGGGGGAGGGGGGTGAGATGGGGACGCGATGAGGATTGAAGGTGGCGTGCACCACCACACAGCGCTGCATGGGGGAGGGGGGTGAGAAGGGGACGCGATGAGGATTGAAGGTGGCGTGCACCACCACACAGCGCTGCATGGGGGAGGGGGGTGAGAAGGGGACGCGATGAGGATTGAAGGTGGCGTGCACCACCACACAGCGCTGCATGGGGGAGGGGGGTGAGAAGGGGACGCGATGAGGATTGAAGGTGGCGTGCACCACCACACAGCGCTGCATGGGGGAGGGGGGTGAGAAGGGGACGCGATGAGGATTGAAGGTGGCGTGCACCACCACACAGCGCTGCATGGGGGAGGGGGGAGGGTGGGAGAGAGCCATGGGGCAGACAGGTTCAACGTCGCGAGGATTGAAGGTGGCGTGCACCACCACACAGCGCTGCATGGGGGAGCGGAGGATGGGAGCATGAAGTGGAATTAGCGCTGCACACAGCACACAGCTCCCACACAGCCCCACCTGCTTGCTGTCATGCATGACGTTCTTGCGCACCACGCTCCTCCCCGCCTGATTCCCACAGAGGTGGAAGTGGATGTTGTAGCGCCCCAGCTGCCCCTGCTGCCCCATCTGGGCAAACTCCACGCCCTCTATCAGCTGCGCGGTCTGAGTGAAAAACACCATGAAGTGCCCGCCCTCCCAGTTGTAAGGTGCCGCCTCGTCCTCCCCTCGAATGGTCACTGTGCGGTTCAGCAGCACCACCTCCCCGCGCTCGTCGATTGTGCCGCCGAACCCGTCGGGCACCACCTCTCCGAAGTGGCTGTACGAGAGCGGCGCGCTCAGCGCCACTTTCCACTTGCTGCCGCCCACCGCCGTCACTGCAGCAAGGGCCAGCAGGGTGATGAGGAGGATGCAGACTTAGGTAATTTTTCGGATTCACAAGAGTGGCTGGCATGGGGGAAGTGGCGTGAAGCCGAGATGACTTTAGAGTGGCGCAACTCAAGACTCACAGGACACATGACTCATTCAAAATCTCTTCCAGCGGCTCAAGCGACACAGGACGCGACTCACTGACCGCGAACGATCTTGGCGACGTCGATCTGGTCGGCATAGAAGTCGGTGGAGGCGAGGCCGACGTAGAAGCCCACGGGCCATGCAGTGACGTCCCGGTCCACGATGATGGCCCGATCGCCCTCCTGTGCTGTCGCTGCCAGGCGGCACCACGAGGGCGTGGAGGAGCCCCCCGGCATGCCGTGCATGCGCACCTGCCCTCCCACCACGACGAAGGCCTTGTGGCCGAAGTTGCGGGGGTTGGCGGGGTCAGCGGGTGCGTTGGCGGTGTACTGGTAGGGCGCGCGGCCGTTGGGGTTGTGCGTGAGCGTGAAGACGACCTTCTGAGAGAAGTGCTTTGCGCTGCTGCCTGCGATCAGCTGCCCCTCCACGATCACAAACGACGCGTTCACCTGCACCAGCGGCCGTGACGGCGTGTCCTCGATCCTGCCAATAGCACATGGGGGGAGTCGGGGGGGGGGAATTAAGGAGGGATTCAGGGGGGATTCAAGGGGGACTCTGGGGGCAGGGGAAAGGGGATGGGGAAAAAGGGGAGACGAAGGGGGGAGCAAGTGCGGGGGATGAGGAGACGGAAAAGGAGCAGGCTAGAGCGTCTAGCTCATCCCTCCAATAGGAACCCCCATCCACGCTCTCTCCCCTTCCGTCCCTTCCTCTCTCTCCTGCTCACGACTCATCCCTCCAGCTCACTTGAGCATGCCCCGGATGGTGAGAGTGGAGAGGACGACAGAGGGCATGTCGAGAAGCACAGCCACGCCGCACGGGATGGTGGCGATGGCGCCCTTGCCCGCCCCCACGCCCGGCACCACTCCCCCCGGCCACGTGCCCGCATTGCTCCACAGCTTGAAGCCTGGAAGGAACGGGCGCGGAGAGAAGGGACGTGGAGAGGGAAGAGGGGGGGAGAGGGGGGAAGTGAGGAGGGAGAGGGCGGGAAGGAGAGAACGGGATGAGAGAACGGGACGGAGCGTGGGGAGAAAGGTAGGAGGGAGAGGGCGGAGTAAGGAAGGGAGCGGTAACACCAGGTGAGCGGCGGCCAAGTGCCCCTCATATGAACCGCATTACACTGCGTTGGACCGCGGGATTCGCGGAGGCCGTCGCAGTGGACGACCGTCACCGCCGACAGTGACTTACCGGCGGAGGGAGGGTCCAAGAGCGGCGTGCACGGCGATTTGAAGTTGTCCCACGGGACTTGCGGCGTCGCACGCGCCACGGGCAGGACCCCGCGGTTCGGGAAGAGTGCGAGGTGGCAGCACGCGGCGAGGAGCAGCGCTGAGAGCGGAGACAATGCGCGGAAGCTGCGGGAAAAGGCGGAGCGGCGGTGGCTGGTGCGAGAGGTCGGCGGGCGAGCGGCGGAGGCCATGGTTATGAAATGTATGTGTGGTGCAACCGCTGCGGTCGCCACGATGGCTGCGACGGTGATAGTACTACGAGTGATACTTGGAACTGAAATGGATTGGGATTATGTATGGATGGGTGCTAGTAATCGAGGTGATCAACCACGGTGTGGTTTGATACGGTGGAATTGGCGGATTGTTGCGGGAGGTGCTATGTCTGCCGGCTTTAGGGTTACCACCACCTGTCAGCAGCTGAAGGGCGTGGCGTGAAAGGCGTGTCCCGATAGCACATCTACTGAATTCTGAATATTCTTTTCTGATGCTCATGACAGTCGGTGACGCATGAAAACGGGTTCTTAACCCACGCGCCGTATTCAACCGCACTGAATGTATCACTATCTGGCACGCTTGGGGAACTGAGGATTTGTGTGCTATACAGTGACCCCACGGATTCCTCCTGCGCTCTGCGCGCGCGGGAACGTCGCGTGAAACGGCGACGTCGCCGACTGGCTAGGATTTTGG